TGGCGGCATTTGTGGGTGGCCCCTGCGCAGATGGATTGTGGCGTGAAAACCTACCTGAAGTAGTGTCACCAATTCAGGGTCCTGTTTTTTGGGGTCACCTAACCCTGAAGCCTTATTTCGGGTCACTAGAAAGGGTAACTAAAGCGTGGCAAAGGCCTAATCAGCTTGTAGGTTGGTTCAGACAGCACAGCACCTCTAATCGTAACCACCAGACCCTATGTGAAGCTTGCCTCTGTTCCATCGTGGGATGCCGGTAGTGATGCGGCTGAGGACCCTTCCAAACACAGCATGTTTTGCTCACAGAAAATCCGATTGAAGAGGGCTGTGGATGGAAAAGTTAGCAGAGAAGCGTCGGCGAACACAAATTTTCATTAGGTACATGAGCACCACAGGATTAAGGGCCCCTACTCGAGGCCCATATTTAGAGAAAACCTCTTTCAGTACATCAAGTAGGAGTACTCTCAGGATGCGCTTCCCAAACCTACTGGGTTTAGGGATTATGGTTTAGGGTTTTGGGGCTACGGGTTTGCCTGAAGGTTCATGAGTAGTAGTTCTGCTCGCGAACTATAGTTGCTACCCAATTTGGGGGATACAAGCTATCCTGTTCCATCCTTGGCAAGGGAAAACAGAACACTAGCGGTAATATCCTCTCGTCTCCTGTGTACTTATTAGTTTAGACAACGGGTATCCATTCGGGTAAGATTAGGGTTATATTGGGGTTATATAGGGATAATGGAAGAGAACATGGACGCTACTATTTAGGGGTTACGGCCTCATTCAGCAACAGATGGATAATACTTGCAGTCTGGACATGTAGAGCCCTTCACTAACCCCGGTTGTAGACTGTTATGGGGTATAGGCAGTACGCGGCAAGTACCCACAACCTTTGATAGTATCTAAGTTTCCATTTTCTTTTCCACCCTGTAGGCGCTAAATCCCAAATAGTGGTTTCCATGTTCTTTTCCGATCCTTCCCATCCCACACCAACAACCAGCAACTTTTCCATTCGATTTTCCAATCCTTCTTGACCCTAACCCCTGTTTAGCCTTCATCCGAAACCTTACATTCTGAACGTTAAATCCTACACCCTAAGCCCTGAAACCTAAAGCCTCAGCCCTAAACCCCAAACCCTAAATCCTGAATCCTGAGCCCTAAACCATAAACCCACAATACCAACCCTTAAACCCTAAACCCTAGGTAGCGCAAGCCTCATCCCTTAACTGCGGGTTAGTAGGGAAGAAGGACAAACCTTAAATCCTAGAAAGAGCGAGGCCTTGCCGTCCGCGAACTGTCCGCTGCCCCGTGTGCAGCTGAGCCGCTGCAGTGATCCTGAGGGCTTGGTAGAGGTTTGAAGGGTTCAGGGTTTAGGGTAAAGGGATTGGGGTTTAGGGTTCAAGGTTTTAGGGATCTGATTAGGGCTTATAAGCTTTAGGGATTAGGGGTTAGGGCCTACTGTACACTTGAACCCTAAATCCGAAGCTCCTGAATTGAGCACTGGACTCCATAGATTCTCAACCCTAGGGCTCACTTAGGGTTTAGGGCTCAGGGCTTAGAGTATCAGGGTTCAGAGTTTAGGGCGGAGAGTCTTAGGGTTTAGGGTTTGGGGTTGACGGCTTGGACTTTGGGTTTCAGGGTTCAGGCCAGTTTAGGATTTACGGCAAGGTACAGTCGGAATATCCTCACAAAGGCACCCTGCACAACTTGTGCAAGCCCACTGGCAACTTCTAATGAGGCCTACATACACCCGCCAAAAACGGAATGAACATTTTTCCAGATACAGAGAGGAATACCTCTAGCTATCCGAGGGACATGCAGGGATGAGGACCTGACCCCGATTTCAAAAAATACGTGCATTTCAGTCCCCCGAACTTTACTGCAGGGTCACGCAAAAAGCTGAACCCATAATTTGGCAAAACCTCCGGATATCAAGTAGTTTCGGCCTAGACTCTCAGTCCCAAACCTAAGCCTCATACCGCAATACCCTCAAACCCAAACCCTACAACCCTGCACCCAAAACCGCATACCCTACAACGCTGTACCCAACGCAATAAACCGCGAGAATGATTCCAGTTTCCAATAATGTTCCCTTTGCTTGTCTGTTTTGACTTTCCATTCACGGGGCAAGCTCCCTCTGCTTAATGGAGGTCTTAGATTAAAAGGTTTGCGGTGTCTTTGGAAACCCTCAGCGCATGCGGGACTAGGAAATCCAGCATCCTTGTCTGGACAGGGTTTTGGTGATTAGGCTTTAGCCCGTTTGGATTCTGAGGCTACCCGAGGCGCCATCATGCCTTGTACACGTAATATTGCCATTTTTGCGTGGGCTTGCAACTTTCTTGCTAGAGAAACTGTGGCCTCACACCCTGAGATTAAGTCAGACATCCGCGACTCAAAGCCTGAATTCTTGCTGAGTTGGCATGTGGGATATTTGAATATTTTCCCTTGTTTTTCTTGATTTAGAGGGAATACAGGGAGAAGTTATCGGGTTTCTGGTTCTGGGGTTTAGGGTTTAAGTTTCGCTTATACTTTCTGGGGTTAGAAGGGAATAAGGGAAGCTGTTATAGACTTTAGGGTTTAGGGTTTAAGTTTTAGCTTATACTTGCTGGGGATTATTAGGGAATAAGGGAATTTATCATTGAGTTTAGGGCTTAGGGTTTAGGGTTCATAGGGGATAAGGGAGTATACCTGCTACAATGGAGAACTAAGGGAAAAGTAAAGTTGAACATGAAATGGAAAGAGGGTTCTAGGGGTAAGATAGGGCTAGTTACTGGGGTTTAGTAGGGAAGAAGGGAATGTATTATATAGGGAGTGGGGGATTACATAAGGATTATATTCCCTCATTCCCTATTAACAACCACGAAGTATAGGGCTTTAGGCTTAGGGCTTTAAGCTTTTCACAGTTTTGGGAGCTTAGGGTTCAAGAGTCCATATCTAGGATTTAAGCTTGGTTGGCCTCTGGAGCCAGTTGGAAAATATTGAACCCTAAACCCTAAACCCCCAAACCCTCAACCCTAAACCCTGAAGCACAGGGTCCTTATGTAAGCCTTAAACTGCGGAGTTCGAGGCCACGGGCTGCTGTGCCAGCAGCTGGGGTGCGACAAGAGACGGAGGCCTTTCTTGGCTCCTGAGAGAGGGCTATGGATTCAGGGTTTAGGGATTAGGGTTTAGGATTTAGCTTTTATGGATTCCAGATTGAAATTCTGGGGAGACGAGCAAACATAGGACATTCAAACACATATGTCCTATTGGCCTATTGTATAAAAGCAGTTGGAAATCATCCGCGACGATAGCCCGGTTTAGGTAGGTGACATGGGGGGTTTTGGGGGTGTAGGGTTTAGGCGTTCGAGCTCTGATGGGGATTTGGGAACCCTAAGCTCTAAGTCCACAGCACCAGGGCTCGGCGTCCCTCAATAGATGCTGTAGAATCCTTGCTTTAGTGTGGGGACTTTGGTTAAAAACTAATCTTTGGGGGTTGGGGATACCAAAATCCTCTGAGTATGCTTTGGGAGCCTGGTTTGCCGATCCAACCATGACCCAAAAAGGAATGATATTGCTTTTTGGGTGCTGGTGAACACGAGCTTATGTAAGTTGAACACCCTCAATGATGCTGGGATCTCTCATAGGACGATAGGGCTCTCTGCGTTCAGTTGTTAAGTAGAGTTGTTTGAGCCGCAGGTGTGTTCAACAAGAGCACGGGTTGCTCAAATATCCTGCTCGCGATTGTGAATGTTGCAGTCTTTGTGTGTTATTGAGGTTTCTCTCAGACTTTGCTCTAGAGACGCTTCTGATATGCCTTTGGCAGAATTCCTTCATATTGCTTTGACCCCTTTTGCCTGTGTCCAATAAAGGGGGTTTTGGGGTTATTCAGAGCGTTTGTATAGGCGAGTTGATTCAGAGCGTATAGGGGCCTGGCTTTTTTTGGCAAGGCAGGCGCACAGCAGCTATTCACCTTTATCATTCAGGGTTTAGGGTTAAGGGACCTGTTGGGGAGGGGAATTGTAGATGCAGGTGTAGGACTGGTGAGGTTTGGGGTTTAGGGTTATAGTCCCCCTTAAGTCGATGGAATATGAGGTATATGGGGATCTTATTATAATGTACCCAAAACCATATTCTATGTACTTAAGGGAGCCTAAACCCTAACCCCGAAATAGTAGTTTCCATTTTCTTTGCCATTATCCCCACATTACTCAATATTCTATCTACTTAAGGGGGACTAAAGGTGGGCCCTCGTTCTGCCAAGAACTGAGGTCTCAGGGCTGTGATTTAGTTAATGTATACATTGGCTCATTCCCCCCTACAGTAAACGTGTCCGCCATGGGTATCCCTAAGCTCTAAGCCCTAAACTTGTGAAGTTGTGGAAAAAGCAAGCTGAACAAGGTGGACTGTTGCCTTCGAGTTTCGCCTTGGGACTTAGCTTGGACCTTTGACCCTAAAGCCTTTGTGATCCCCGTATATTACAACTATAGGTACGTAGAGGTTAACCCTTGGTAGGGGTCCTACGTGCACGTAGTTGTTTCTTCGCTTTTTAGACATGGTGCGCCAGCTTGGTGTGAGCGACCTTTAGCTCACCAGCTGGGTAAGTTGAGGTGGCACAATTCCTGGGTTACTATTAACGAACTCACATAAAGTTACTGTGATAAGGAAATCTCATTGTCTACTATATGTCCCATGTTGTGGTAAATTGAGGTGGTTTCTTTACGCGCAAGCCAGATTCTTGGGCTCTGGAGCGGTCACCGTAGCGGTTTATCCCTTGCCTCATGGGACAGGGAACTTCTGCGCAGGTGTTTGCAAAGGTTGTTGCCATCAATGACCAAACACCCGTGTTTCCAGGCGCAAGTTGAATTCACAAGTTGCTCCCGTTACTTACAGATGAGGTTGTGAGATAAAGGCTGGGGCTGATGCGGTTTATGTGTGTATGTTGTGATCATTTCCCTGTAGGTGGGCATTCAACGGAGATTTGCTTGTGCGCCAGTGGCGGTGGAGCTCGTGCATTGACCCACACAATGGGCGTGTACAGGGCTTTGCACCACATGGGTGCTTTGGCAAAGCTGGATGCCATCAGCTCGGTGTCGGGAGGTACATGGGCTTCGGCTGTCTACATGTTTGGCAAGGACTACCAAGGAGTTGCCATCGACACCACGACAATGTTGGGGCCGAAGACCACACCATCTGAACTTACGATGTCCAAACTCAGTGAACCAGCTGCGCCCATGGCACGGGGCGTCACGCAGGGTAACTCTACGGAGCTGGCCAAGCAGCTTTTTTGGCAACATCGCAACTCTGAGCTTTGGAACCGTTTAGTTGCCGAGCTCGTGTTGAAACCCTTCGGTTTGGAGGAGTTGGACAGCTACATGGCGGCGTCTGAAGCTGCGGTCCAACGCATAAAGGCAGAGAACCCAAGTCTTAAGGACAAGAAAATTGTGACTCCTCGTGCAGATCGTCCGAAGTTGTTCGTGATGAATGGAGCATTGCTAGCCCCCAAGCGCTACAACACCAACGGAGACAGCATAGTCTCCTTTCAGATGTGCCCGGACTACACGGGCAGTCCTTTCTACCCTGGTGGTTGCAAGGAAGTGTTCATGCCGGAAGTCACCTACCACGCCGCCCCCATCTGCTGCGTCGATCCATTCTGGAGGCCTAACATGAAGCTTGCTGCTAGGATCCCAAGTAGTAGTAGTAGCAGTAGTAGTAGTAGTAGTAGCAGCAGCAGCAGTAGTAGTAGTAGTACTACTACTACCACCGGGTTTAGGTGGCGTTTGGGTTCAGGGTGTAGTGCTCCTCTAGTATCAGTTTCACTGAGCCCGAATGGCAAGGAAGGGTGTTGTTTTTGTGCTTGGCATCTGGGCTTGTTGTATACCTTGAACCGTATGCCCGCTTTTTGGTATTTTTGGGTATATTTTGTTCTGTAACATCCTTCAAAAGGAGCCCCAAGGCCCTTACAATCCCAGCGCCCGTAGAGCTCCAAACTGAAAAAACCTTGAATCCAAAAACCAAAGTCCCAAGCGCTAAACCCTGGATCCTGAACCCTAAGCGCTGAACCCTCAGTTTTGCAAAGCTCCCAGGTTGTGGGCGGTGGGATGATCGAAAGTTTCGCCTTTGGTGGGACGGGCCCAGAGTCCGAGGAAGCTGGAAAGGTCGAAACGCTTGCTGCTCGGACTCTCAGCAATTTTTGCCGTTTGTTTTAAGGTTCAGGGTTTAGGCTTCAGGGTTCAGGATTCAGGGTAAATACCTCTCTAAAAGTTCGGGGCCTGATGGGTATAGGTATACTGGATAATGGGGTACAAGTCCCCTAAAGCGTAATCCCTAAACCCTAGTCCCTAAACCCTAATCCCTTAACCCTACTCCCTAATCCCTAAACCCTAAGGGGCATAGGTGGGTATCTTGGTCCCTATGTGGCCCTTCATCCTGGCTCCCAAACCTTGAATCCTTCACCATCTGTATCTCGAACAATGGGGTTGCTGTTCCAGAGCTCAAATTAAGTCACCATGATGGGAGATCCAGATTAAGCATTTGAAATCCCCATTATGGGAAGTTCGGTTAAAGTCTTCAAAAGCAACCCAGAAAACGCCTCCCCGTTGCAAGAAACTCAGCGCCTGAGAGCTTTTCGACCTGGGAATCTCAAGTCAAGTATAAGACGTAAGTACGGCCCCCGCCCATCTCTACAGAGAAGCTCGTTCAGGGTCTAGGGCCTTAGGGCTTAAGTTTCAGTAGTTCTGCCTTTGGCCGACTTCAAACATTAGCAACCGCGGATTATACATCCTACACCCCAAACTTCAATCCCCAATCCCAATATGCCCCAACATATCCCATATCCTTCATATACTTCGGGTTGCCCCCCAATATACCCTTAATCTACCCCCAGTAGCTGTGCGGATGCGCCTTTCGTCCTCAACTTTAAGCCCCCAACCTTCAACCTCAGGCTTCTCATGGGTTTTGTCAAAAGGGGAAGGGAAGGATTCGTTCAGAAAAAGCACCCAACACTCGAAGAATGAGGCCGTGGGTGCCCCCGCGCAGGGCTTCTCGCTAGCCGAAGCAGTGGGCATCAGCAGCTACAATCCGGCACCTCTTCTGGCCAGTACCAGGCCCCACTTAGAGTTTACGGCTTAGGGCATTAATTGCTTGCAGGGCTTGGGGCTGAGAGTTTCAGTGTGTAGGGCCTGCAGCGCAGGGTGTGCAGTTGAGTTTAAGTGTGTAGGGTTTAGGGTAAGAGGAATAGGAACAATCATCGTTCCGGTTGCCAGTAAAGATTTTCGTGAGTAGCAGAATGACGATAACAGCAATGATGGTGCCACAATTGGTAACAAGACTGGCTTTGCACTGTGCGTGTTCGCACCACAACTGCAATTGTCTCCGAGAGCAGGGGACCCCCTAAACCCCCAACCCTTGGGTTCTAAGCCCTAAATCGCTAAACCCCACGACCCCACGTCTTCAAACCTGAGCCCCTAATCAACCCTAAAGACCCGTGAAACAACACCTAAACCCGAAGCTTCAAGCCTGAAACTCTTAGCCCTTAACCTTAAACCTTAGACCCTACACAGGAACCCAAACCTGCAGGCTTGCGGCCGCGATCTTCAGCATTCAGAAGCAGTACTGGCCAGTCATTTCCGGCAAAACTCAGCAGACTTGCCCGGCACGTGATTTTCAATTTGGGGATGGAGGCAATCTTGAGAACTCAGGTTTGCTTCCACTGCTACAGCGTAGGGCCAAGAACGTGATATGGGTTGCTAACAGCTACCGGCCCTTGAGTAGCAGCTATGACTTTGAGAGTGCCACGCCCGGAAGCTTCGACCCTGAAGCCGCGGGAGTTGTCGAGTCGGTGTCCAGTGTCTTCGGCTACGGCTTTAACGATGCTGGGTAGTTGTTCGCAAACAAGTTTGCGAGTTGATGGGTACTTAGACACAATGAGGAAATACGTATGACATGTGAGCATCTTGACAAAGATCTTACAAGAAGCCGAGGATCAGGACTGCTACTACGACCACAACCAAGTCTCTGGGTTGCTGTTAAGGGACGCAACTTACATTAATATATAGGGGAAACCATGTTATCTACTATTTTCTATATATACACACCATGTTGATTACTCTATATATATATATGTATATACCATATTAACTACTCTATATATATATATATCCATTGTGGTACCTTAATTTAAGTTCCTTAACAGCAACCCAGGTCTTTGAGAAGAACCAGCTGTTGGGCCTCGTCCGGCAACTCGCGGAGCTGAAGGCGGCAGGCAAGCCTGCCGTGATCAAGGAGAGCCGGTATTCTTTGGGGTCTTATAGGGTTTAGGGTTTAGGGATTCTTAGGGGTTATAAAGGGTTTAGGGTTTAGGGATTAGGGTTTTAGGGTTTAGGGTTTAGGGATTCTTAGGGGTTATAAAGGGGGTATATAGGGATTCTATAGGGGTAGATGAGGGTTATATAGGGATTATATTGGGGTTGTACAGGGATAGTGGAAAAGAAAATGGAAGCTACTATTTAGGGTTTAGGGTAGCTCCCAAAATTAGGGGTCTATAGGGGTTATGTAGGGATAATGGGAAAGAAAATGGAAACTACTACAGTATTATAGTGTGTGTATATATATATAGGGGTTTTATAGGGTATCATATAGGATTATATAGAATAGGGATACTGGAAAAGAAAATGGAAACTACAATTCAAGGTTTAGGGTTTAGGGTAATCTGGGATTCGAGGGACCCCAAGACGGGAGTAAGATAGCATATTTCTTAGGGCTCCTATGTCACAGGGAAACTTGTGGGCTCCAATCAAATGGAATCAGTGCTCAGGAGACGTTGCATGTACTTCCAAACACCTACTGGGGCATCACGGGCGGCTATGTGGCTTAGGCGTCCATTGGGTGCCGTTTTAATTTTTTGGTGGCTAGAACAGGCAGCCCGTTTTTCTGAAATAAGCTGGAATTGGGGTGATATTCAGGGTTATATGATATATATGTAGGGATATCTAGGGATTACATGAGGAGGATATATAGGGGTTATGGGGCAAGTGAGGCGATGAACCTGGTGTTGATTTACTTGGAGGAGGTCAGAGATTTCCAGGATCAGTTGCCGCAAGACATTCAGATGGAGCTTGCAAAGGGGTCGGCTGGGGCATTTGCCAATTATCCAATCTACGAAGCTTGCCTGAATTGTTGTTTCTCGGAGGTCTGAGCCGCTTTTGAGAGCCTTTTCTTTTCCCGCTGCTTTGGTGGGTTATGTCATTAGATTCTGAAACCCCAAACCCTTAACCTTAGATCCTAAACCCTAAGCCCTCAACCCTAAACCCCAATCCCTAAACCCTTATCCTGGACCCTACGCATCCTGGAACTCGAAGCTGCAAAAAGCCGGGCCCTAGCCGGGTAAAGTTGATCAACTGGTCATACCTTGGATAGGTTTAGGGTTTAGGGT